TCGAGCAGTATCTAATGTGCCTAACTGCTAGCTATCTCTCGCGTCGCCGTGATGCCGATACAGTAAGGACTTTCACACAGGCTACCTGCGACAAATGAGCAGTCATAAACAGGCAGCTCTAAGGCTATTAGTGCGTGACAGTTTGAGCTCGACAAGTTTGATCCTCAAAGGAAAAAGTTACACTGCCCAAAGGCAGTCGTGCAGAAGAGGAAATAACTTCACTGCCTCCCTCCGTCTTTGAAGAAATAAAGCTGCCGTTGTTACTGCTGTCTTGCTGTTATACGTCAGTCTGCTAAAGGCTAGAAAAGGACTTCGATATAAAACCGGATCGAAATAACGAAATCTGCGTGAGATTCCTTTGGCCAACGTCAGTCTTGTCAGCGGGTGGTGACTGCTCAGTGTTGTGGCAGACGTGATTCGTCGCCGATTAAAAACTGCATAAAAGACCATTTATTTCTGCTTTGCGCAAACAGTATGGTCAGTCGGGTGATTGGTAAAGTAAAGAAACCGTCTTTTATGCTGTTTACGATACGATTAAGAACACGAACAAAACAATCGTTCTATATAATGATATATGAATGTCTGTGTGGTCTAAGCAGCGCAGTTAGTGATAAAATTTTTTTTATAGATTTAAGTAATTTATCTGTAGTAAATCGCCTGCTATCCTATACTGTCATTTGCATGTCATATAGGCCGATGTCGAGCGATTTCCGATGCAGTCTCCGGAAACAGTTGTATATAAAGGCAGCAAATACTACAAGGTTTTACATAATCTGATTCTTCAGAAGTTATGCTACAATACACAGCCGAAAATAGTTTTTACTTAGCGCAAGGCCTTCGGAACTGCAGAATGATGTTCCATGTCGGCGTGACAGGTACGGGGACAACGTAGTGGGGTTCTGAAAGTAAATATTTTATTTATTTTTGACCATTTATTGTTATTTATTTTATTTAACATTTACTGCTTTCAAAGCAAATACGTTTCACACTTTGTTCGAGCAGACAAACTCAACTTTAAGAGTTGAGAGTGTTTTAAAGCATACAATACCGGCGTTTGGGAATTGTCTCAGCCTGCCAACAAGTGTACCTTATATTGAGCTTTTGCATGTTATTACGAAAATGGACCTGGTCGACAATAAATCCTTCGGAAGTTTTTGAATTTGCACAAAGGATTATTTAATTGTTTATTGCATAGTTTCATGTTATGTGCTGACTTGGTAAATAATGAAAAATCAGTCGCTTTAATTGATTTCAAAGATTTTTTTTATTTCGTACAGGTTATTACAATGTTGTATGAAACATCATGTGACATGGTCATGACAGCAACGAGAAAAGTTTCATAAACTGTGGTCTTCCTGAAGTTCGAGGCGCTGCGGCGAAAACTTAAGACCGTCACGTTTTCGTTTGTTCTTCGTTTATTGCGTTGTTTGAATAATTGCCGTTTTCAGAACTTCTCGGCTCACCGTTGATTTCGGCCAGCACTTTCTTAATGCGTTTGCCCGGTATTAGGCCATGCCACTAAAAGAATTGTCATTAATTACCTGTTTAACATGAAGTACTTTGTTTAGAAAGTATGGGAGTTCCGTCGTTTCGACCTCAAAATGAATTAATCACATGAATATGGCAATAAAAGCTTTAGCGATAGTCGCAAGAAGTTTAAATGCATCTGTTGGTGTGGTTTGTTGTATAGAAAAGAATGGCGCTGGAGGCAACCGAATAGTGGATCTAAGATAGAGGTATGTTTCTTGAAATATTTAAGCATCGGCATCTGACTCGAATGTATTTCGGTAAGGATGAACGCTTTTAGCCAAGGAAATGATTTGCATTATATTTCGAGTGGCTTATTCTTCCTCGACAAAGTGAGTTTTTCGGACGCTTTGTTCGCAGTACATGAAGGTTGTCCAGTAGATCGCATTGCCTCTTATAAGGTGTAAGATTCCGTGATCTGAATGCTTTGACTTAATTCCTCAAATAAAAAGTTCATTGCTCAAATTAACGGAGGGTGAACGTAAAATACCGACTAATATGTCTGCAATTTTTGACCAACTGGCATAATATACATATTCACTATTATACCTAAACGAGCTGCATAATAATGAGGCAAAAAATATAGAATAATAGACAGGAGTTAAATTAGTGTATAGACAGTTGATGTAAATGAATATGTAAGAGCATAGGTTAATATGATCCCTTTCTAGCACATTCCACTTTTTCCGTCTCTGGTTCTGCATAGTCTGAGCCCTCTGCGAGATCACGGATTTTCTGTATGCTTGAGACCTTAGATGCATGCCAACAGATTTGACCTTGCGAAATAAAAACCTGGAACTGCAGATTGAAACAGATGGGTTCAAGGGATGGTGAGGATTGGTTAGAACAGATCAACGATATATTCTAAAATCTGATCTACTACGACGTTTATGGCATTCATATGGGAGGATTGCTTACTCTGTCGACAATTTTCAGAACTAATCGAAATTTGCATAGGTCTATTTTACGAACGGAGCATGTGCAATTAAAACGAGTATGCAGATTCTCTGATTCTGTGGGAGGTTGTAATGAATTTAGACACAGCTGCTCCATCGTATTTTCATGGCCATTTTTTTTCATTTAAATTAGAGTGTCTTTTGTCTCTGGTAACACCTAGATGCTCTGTGCTGAGAATCATGTCTATCTTTTATTTCTGTTCCAAAATACAGGCGACGATGCAGTTGGTTACTGTATTACCGGAAGGCTTGTGGATTCGCAATGCAATAAATATTCATCGGTATGATTATGATTAATGGATAAGCGATTTTGCATCGACCATTGCTGAACCGAAGCGACTACCCAAGAACACATTTTGAGATTATGTATTAAGGCAGCTGCACACGGTACCGACGTAGCATCGCATATTTTATGCATTTATTCACATAGTTGACTTTGCATGCGTTTGCGTATATGGCGACGAAAAATGACAGTATGGAAGATCCTCGTAAAATTCCTTAATGGTTTGTCAGAGCTGGGGATTGCTTCCGTTGACTCGTGCAAAATGAGTGCGGTCTGAGCGACAGTTGCCTAACCAGCGTACGGTATTTTGATCATTTCTGGGAGAACAGAGAACTACTAAAAGCTATTTATAGCACATGGTTTAAATGCAGTGCTGTTGTCTAGAACTAGCGACAGGTTATGCAACCGCCTTTGTCGAAATCTTCGGCAATTGCTGTCGTCACATGCTATGGCATCAACACAGACTCTTTGCTCTTTGTAGGCGAACTGACAGGGCTCAGGCAGTAAAGCTGTTTGATTGCAGTGAAGTTTCCATGAACTAACATTTCATCAACTGGACGAAATCCTTGGGCATGAAAATGATCGCTGTGACGAACCTCAATTTTGGAACAGTTCCTTCCTTAAGGCTGCAAT